CGCCCCCCCCCCCAGACCCCGCCTCTCCGCCCACCCCCGGCTCTACACCCAACCACTGCATCAACCACCACCACCACCCAGCCTCGAATCCCCATTTGGCACCCCAGGCTGGGTTGGAGCTGCCCCCTGGTGCCCAACTTGGGTCACTGCAGGGTGAAGCTAGTGTTGAGTGCATGGGGGGGGGACACCTTATATCAGCCCCTTGCCCCCAAGCTTGGTGGAGTTTATTCAAGTCCCTGTCCCAATACCTCTGTCCCCAGCACAGCCCCTGCAGCAAGCAGTTCTGGAGGACCTAGGAGAGCTCCTCCCTGCATTTCAATACTCACATCTGGAGCTGCTGGACTTCCTGTGTGCCCAGGCTGCCCAGAGCCACTGCGATGGGGATATAGTCCTCTGCCAGGCCTATATGCAGGGGCAGCCATCAGGGAGGGGATGTACCCTTTAGCCTGGGGATTCCCACCTCCCCCCACCAAATCAGGGGTCCCAACCTCACCCCCAACCCCCGGAACCCAATGGAGTATCCCTCCCCACGGCCGCCACCACTCTGATCCCTAAGGGCTCCCCCTACTGGCTCCTGGTAGGGGACCGCTAGGCAGCTGCCATGCTCCAGGAATCCCTGGCGCTAAGCACCCCAGGGGCCCCCACCCATGAGTGCCCCTGATCACCAGGGACCTCCCTTCCCCAGGAGAGACATTCCTGAAAGGGGCACTGCCAGGGTGACCCTGGTACCAATGGGGGCGGTAGGCAAGGGATCCCCCACATACTCTTGTGGGAGCGCATGACGCGGTCGGCCTTGAGGCAGGTGTCGCGCACACGGGTGTGATACTCCAGCAGGAACGTTCGCTCATGCTCAAAGAACTCGTCCACCTCCTGCAGAGGGTGAGAGGGAGCCAGAGACCCAAGGGTGCCCCACACACAGACCCACCCAAAACAGGAGCAGGGCACTGTATATACTACACAGCTCCTCATGCCCAGAGATTGCCATTTGGCTCCTGCACGGGGGGGAAAAGGGGGAATCTACATGGGCTGGGCCAAGTGCTAACATGGTCACTGCTGCTGGGGGAGGAATCTGGGCAGGCCGTGCCACTCTTGGTGAGAGCCAGGAGGGGACGTGGATCTGTCCATGTGGCGCCACTCTCCACAATACCGTGTGTGTGTGTTGCGTAAGCTGCGCCACTTGCTGTGAGGAGGGGGGGGATCTGTACAGGCCATGTTTCTCCACACTGGGATTTGGAGGGTGGGAGAATGACACAGAAGCCTGTTGATGGTTTGCTTCTCTGACAGCCACTCCCATCAGGTCTGACACCCTCACTACACCTAACACACCGTTAGCATGAGATAGACCCAAACAGTGGCATGCAAGATCTCACTAGACCGCTAATTCCCTGCTCATTACAATGTGTGTGTGATGTAGCGCCTGGATGTGCACAAAGCATTATACATGAGCACTAGAATTACATTCTTCAAATGGGTTTGGCAGGCAGTGCCTAAGGCCAGTCCATCGTAGGCAAAGGAATATGTATGTGCTTAGCTGACCTGCCTGGTCATCAGGCAGAGACAGGGAAGTCAGCTGTGCATACAAAGGTGACCAAAGCTGGCAGCTTAGCAAGTGGAGGAGAGGCCTCTTAGCTAAGTGCAACCAGGACGGATTCAAGGGGCCAGTGCTCTTGAACCCACAGACCACTGGGCGGCACCGAACGAGGTATTTTTTGCATCTGGGGCAAAATATTAATTATGTGCCTCCTCTCCTTAGGTTAGCAGCATCATGCTCTTTACTTTTGCAGCTTATTATTTTTACTTATTGCGTCTTTGTGCTCCTGATTATGATGCGCTGGGGGCGAGTGCCCCACTTGCCCCACCCTTGTTATGGCCCTGCCATTGGGTCCTCCAGCCAAGGGGTTGAATTCCCAGAGGAACTGGATTTAGGTGAGGACCCTGCTAAGGCAGTGATTGTAATTCTCAGAAGCACAAGGGAGGCTTTTGCTGTTGTAGCCCTTTATCTTTACTCCTCCTCTGGGAACCACCAAACCTGGGCCTTTTCCTTCACTAAACTTCCTTTAATCCACGCCAGTTCAGTAAGCGTTTGGCATTACATCTGTCAGCAGCCCTGGATTGTCTCTGAAGGAGCCCTGAGCTGTGTTACTTCTGGGAGTGTTCCAGGAGAGGGCTGGAGACTGCCCCACGGTTTGAGGGAAGCCAGGGCTGGAGGCTGGGTCACTGCGGGAGGGTGTGACCTGCATGGGGATAGCCTGGCTGTTGGTGTCAGGGCTGGGAGCCACAGCAGCAGAGCACTGGAGGCAGCCAGCCCTGCAGGACAGGCATTGGTCTGGCTTGACCCCCCAAATGTCACTGGGGGATCGGGACAGGCCATTCCATTCTCGAGGCTGGGGGGGAGAGAGGTCTGCACGGGGCCCATGGATTTTGCGGGCAATAGGATGAGATGGAGGCATGCACTCTTTTCCTCATCCCCAGGGGGCTCACACACCCCACTGCTGTGCAGCAGGCCCTTACTCACCTTCAGCCCTGACACCCCGGTGATGAGTGCCTCGTCGGCTGACTTGACAATGTTCCGGAAGAAGCCACCCAGCAGCTCCTTGCGGTTCTTTCCACGCACACTGAGCTGCAACGAGTGGGAGTGCCAGTTGGGGGCGCAGACGGGAGAGGGGCCCCCAGGACCCCCTGCACCCCACATCCCTCCCAGCCTTCCCCCAGAGTCAGAGATAAAATGAGCACTTGGGGAGAGGTCTATGCAGGCCGGGGTTGGAGGGGAGAGGGGGACAAGGAAGAGGAGAGAAGGAGGTGTCCCTCTTACATCTCTAGCTCCTTCCAGGCCTTGTTCTCCTCGTGTTGTGTGGGGACTATCTCCCACATGGCCCCTCTTGCTGATGGGAGGGGTGGAGATGGGAATGGTCTCAAATTGGATACCAGAGGCCTGTGCCAGGAAGGCAGACAGGCCGGGGTTGGAGGGGAGAGGGGGACAAGGAAGAGGAGAGAAGGAGGTGTCCCTCTTACATCTCTAGCTCCTTCCAGGCCTTGTTCTCCTCGTGTTGTGTGGGGACTATCTCCCACATGGCCCCTCTTGCTGATGGGAGGGGTGGAGATGGGAATGGTCTCAAATTGGATACCAGAGGCCTGTGCCAGGAAGGCAGACA